CATGAGTGTCATGGGCGGCCGAGGCACAAGCCACAATTCACCAGGTCCAGCACCTGTAAAGTCCTATTCGTCTTCAGCATCTCTGCCACCAGGCCTAGCGACATTTTGGCTCTCCGGCAGTCATGCACGTGCGTAGGCAAAGCCCGCCAAGATCCTTGCCAATGGCTTGAGGGCTCCCTCTCCCTTTCGGTGAGCCTGGCCTGCACCTTCTGCACGCAGAGGATTCCGTTTCAGCCAGAACTGACGAACAATTTGGTCGCCTGGCCGCGTGGGCGCTGTTGAGAAAACACCATTGCCGCTGCGCCCTGCATCACTCCGCTTGGCTGTCGAACGTGCAATTTTACATGAGCGTAACACGTGGACCACGGACCGAGAATCTGACAAAAGGCAAACCTGAAAGACCATTCACGACCAAACTGAGCAAGCGACGCCTTTCAGCACCTCGCACAGCGGCTTCAGACCCTCTGCCGTGATGTGGTTCCCGGCAATGTACCACGTGCTCAGTGACACCTGCGGGGCTTTTGATCGACTTCCCGCTTACGAAGAGAGAACCTCACTGAGGCAGCCAAACTGTTCTGATCATCAAAAGGAAAGGATTTGGAGTCAAACAGATATCCCTTTCGGGGAGCGGAAGGTTGATTGGAGGATCACATCTTGCAAAAGGTATGGCAAGCCCAGAAGCATTATTGAAATCCGTTCATGGATGATCGCAAGTTGCGCAAAATGGTCGCCCGCCTTGCCGTCTCGAATCAGCTCAGCAATTCTCCGCGGCAGCTCATTGCCGCCTTGGCAAGCGATCAGCCATGACGGTCAACAATACAAGATCAAGGCCTGCCAATCAGCTTGCAATTCGTGAACGTAAAAAGTTGAGATGCCACCCCATCCCATCCAAATTGCCCAGGCGCAAATGTTGTTGCCCAACAGCAGGTGCTCCACCAACCCAGCCTGCGCAATGACAAGGCTGAAAAGAGCTGTTTTATGCAAAGTTGCCCCACAAGCATGCCATTGTCAACTGAACATGGCTCAACATGTCACCCCTAACCTCTCGCTCCCTGGTGAATCACGGGGCACCGTGGACGAAGCTTGCACTAAGCTCCCCCCTTGTCGCTGCAAGTTGGTGACTGCAAAAGAAGCCGCGGCATGCAAGTATATTGGGAGTCACCGTGGCGTACAAGCGAGGAAGTCAGGCAATCGGTTTCGTATGCACATGCAAACACCCCTGGAGCACGGCCAACATCAGCCAGGGGGCATCCTGGTTCACGGTCAATGCCTGGAGCAAATCATCCACTCCCTGTGGCCCGATGACCTGCTTGCACAGGTCCAAGCGCTTGTCACCTGACGGGTCGAAACCATTTATGGCTGGCGCAAGCTTCATAAACCCGTGATCTACGCTTCGCCTCAGCTCCGAGAAGCAGTTTCAAAGTTGTCTTGGGCCGCACAACCGGTCGGATCATACACTCATGTCCAACTGAAACAGCGGCTCACACAACAAAACGGCACCCAAAGAACATCACATGGCAAGGGGCGGGTGATTGTGCCCTTGGTGAAAACCAAGTCGTCATTGATGTTGGGCTGAAACTTGTCCTTGCTCTCCAGGAAGGCGTACAAGGGGTGCATGTCAGATTTCGACGACACCTCCACCTGGTGAGCGGCTCCAAGTACATTCAAATGTTGTGGCTTTGGTTTCAGTTGGTAAAATGGTAATTAGTGGCTTGCTTGGTTTGATCTAGCGTGAGCTGGCCGTCTTGATGGTCCAACGGACTATCGGCAATTTGGCTTCACGTTGGCAGCAACAAACCTGAATGCCAACGAAAACGCGCTGGGGCAGAACGCATTTACCCACGTTGAGGGGAGTGGCCTGAAGCCTCACGCGCCCGCATTCACTGAGAGCCCTTCCCGTGAAAATGGACCTCTTTTTTGACACCCAGTCCAAATCTCCTGAGGTCTGCACTGGCATGGGCTCTGGGTGCAGAACCTCGGACACAAGCAAGCAAACCAGCGAGTAAGACTGGGATTGGGTGTATGTCCAGAAATGCGCTTAACTATGTAGTAAGATCTAACTCATGCTCTGGCTTCTAAGAATGATGATTGAACCTAGTCGCCCAACTGTCAATGGATTGTTGGTCACGCCGACCTTCTCTCTCTATAAGCATATGCGGACATCTGCGGACACGTAGCTACATGCATTACGTGTAAGCAGGCTCCAAACAATCTTCCTCAAGCTTGTCGCACGCCCTTGCAGCATCGGATTCGAGCTGGCTGGAGGCCAAAGCAGTCATTTGAACAGGGTCATGGGGACCGCGAACAAACGATAAAGTTGCTCTTGATTGCATGCCCTTCTGGTCTCAAACTCCTTGAACGCCACTGCACCACCCCTTCCCCCCCCTTTTAGAGGGCATGTGATCCCCGATCCCTGCCGAACCTGCCCGGGCGTCCACCCCTTCGTCCCCTTCGGGCCAGGCGCCGCATGTGACAGGGGCGTGGCCTTCAGCTCCGCGAAGCGGCCGGGGTCCAGGCCGCCCAGCCGCCACTGGCCACGCCGGTCCCCTGCGGCCAGAAACGCAGCCGAGGCAAGGGCCAGGCTCAAGGTGGTGGTGGCGTTCGATGGCACTCGGCTGCCGTTCAGCTGCCCTCAAATCAAAATCCCTCCCTTCAGCCTGGGCCTGGAAATGGGGAGGCCGCGGGTGCAAAGGATATGCAGCGCCGGCCTTTGAGCTGAGCAAGGTGCGCTTCGGAGTACTCATCCAGCAAGCTTATGATGTCCTGGTGGTGCAGCTTTGGAGTTGCTGGGCTCCCATGAGTGTGAGCAAATAATTAATGCCGGATACTGGCGCATGAGGAGGCCATCACATGGGCAATACTGGCAGACCAACAAGTCATGCAACTAGCTCTTAGAGGCAGCACACGTACCTGACAACTCCAAGTTATAGATGCATCAGCCGCGAAGATCAGCGAAGTAGCTTGCATGGGCAAGGGTGCCTCCTACCCTTAACCATGGCCAAACTGCATCCAAGAAGCCGTCAGCAGCTTGCCTGGGTTGCTCCAGCACTTGTGGCACCATAGCAGCTTGGGCTCAAAACCGGAGGGTTACAGGCCACTCTCCGGCCACTCTCCGGCTAGTTGAGCAAACAAGTGCAATATTCACTCTGAAATAAGGAGACCTGAACTGAGCTCTCCTGGGCCGAGGTCAAACCACGAAGCATGTTGATGTTCTTTTCTTTTTTACAGTGAGTCGGAATGTCCACTAGCCTCAAGTCTGATGCCCCGAGGGCTGGCAGAAGCTCTCGAACGCAAGTTGCCTTCCAGCACTCTTCATCTTGGTCCTGGCCTTTGGTGGTCGTTTTGTGATCTTGAGGCAACCAACAGGGGGGGGCCCCCTGCCCTGGCATTTGCTTTCTTTGCGGCCATGCCGCGGTACATGCAGCTCAACTCCGGCTGCTGCTCGCGCAAGTCCTCCTTCAAGCTGCCGCCCCCAAGGGCGTGCACGTCCGCGGCCACTCCTTACTCGTCGCTCGCGGGTGTCGCAGAGGTCATGTTTGGGCAGTTGGTGGCTTGCTTGCAACAGGCTCTTTCTCATAAAGACTGGTAGGATGCCACATGCCACACCGTCAGAAAACAACATCCCGAATCATTGAAGCCCTGCAATGCCAGGCCAACTGCCAACTTCCCCCGTCACAGTAGGCTATTGATGTTATGTTACGCTGCTGTTTTGCCACTACATCCTCTCGTGGCGTGCATGACTCTGATCACTTCAGCGTGTTTCAGCTTGAACCAAAGCGTTCAAATAGCGAAAATGAGGTCTCAAGGACAGTACAAGTTCAGGCACACTAAGTATCAGCCACACAAAAGCACTCTTTGATGTCATTCAAAGAAATTAGCACAAAACAGCACAAACGAAAACCTGGTCTTGAAGTGAGGCCTTGCAACGGTCCCCCCCGGGCCGAGGCTCGCAACGCGAATCGCCTGACTGAGCCGCCGAAGCGTGGAGCAAACCGGGCGCACTCGCTCAAGGAGGGGTGCATCCCCGAATGCGAGCCATCCTTGGATCTAGCCAGGCTGAGCAGTCGCATTGCGTCATTTCTCCACTTACTCTGGTCAGCCAATACGAATCTTCGCAAGCTTGTCAAGAAGCCACCCTCCAAGGTAGTCCCTTCCAAGCCAAGGGGCGCACTGCCCCCACTCCTTCACCACGTTGGAGTCTTCGTAGAGCTGCATGGCGATCAGCCGCACGATGGACGTTTGCAGAGCGGCTCTTTGTTCCGTGCACTCACCTGGCAGCTGCCAAGCACAGGTTCCCCCGAGGTCCAATAATTGACGTGCCCTGGTTTCCAAACCTATTGCCAAGCAAAAAGTCCAACTCAACCTCAGCACAAACAGGAAGTAAGAATCAGCTGCCTTCCGCCCAATCTCCCAAAACTGCCCTGCCTTCCTCCAGAATCGCATGTAGATGGACTGGGGCTTTCCATCCGCCTCGGGGCAAAGCCGATCGGCTCCGCACTTGGCCAGTATGCAAAAAATATGGATATGGCCACTGGATCCAACTGAGATTATTGGCCGCCTCTTTGACTGCTTGCAAAGCAGGCCATGTAGGCTTCTGTCCAGCATGCTCGCTTGCGATTTCAGTGGGGATGTGCATGTCAAACGTGCAAGGCAGCTTCACGCCCTGTCCTGATTGCCAGATCAGTTGCAAGACCTGTCTCGTTGACGGCATGCTCTTTCCACGAAGCCGTGCAGCATTCCACCCAGAACACCAGCCCAATGCAGCTTCACTTCATTCAAGCCACCTGCGCCGACCAACTCATTCAGGAGCGAGTCATGGGACTCAAAGGAAGGCTCCGCAGCAACAGCGGCAAAGATCCAGTAGGCAGCAGCCGGCTGGGCAACTTTGGAGTTCCACCTGGGCAGCGACCAACATCAAAAGAGCACGTCGGAATTTGGGACGGAAAGCCGCGCAGCTTCCGCAAGCTTCCGCGGCATGGGTGGTTGCTTCCGCGCACGTGTTTTGCTTCCGCAGCTTCCGCACCAAACGTGCGGTTTTGACGGGCGTGTTAGAGTCAACACAGTAGCCACTCGCATTTTGCGAGTGGCACTACGGACAAGCTTTCTTTACGCGTGCCCACTTGCATGAGTGAAAGCCATGTTTTCTGGAAAAATCAAGTGACATGCTCTCTGCTGGTAGTTCCTTGTTTCCAATGTGTAAGAGCGATAAGAGGAAAAACAAAATAATAATAATAATAATAAAGATCAGAGCTTCCGGGGCCTTCCGCGAAAACAAACTTTGCACTACGCGACTGCGAGCTTCCGCAGTCTGCACAAATCCTTCCGCCGAATCCCATTTTGGCACCGCAAGACTAAGTTTCATCATAGAAATATTGATCGCTGCTCACCTCGGAGTGGACAACATTCACTTGTGCACCTGGGCAATCAACAAGATGGATTGGAACTTTGGAATGTCCAAAAGGTTCACGGACTCGTCGCACTAGTGCCAAGAAGTCTGTCCTGAAATTATCGATTTCCTCTTCGCATCTTTTGGACAATGGATGGCGCTGGTACGAGTTGATCAGTTGATCAGTTGATCCCAGTCCATTTGCAACCGTAACCAAACTGACCTACAACGGACCCCTACAATTATCAAAACATCTTCCCTCCACCTATCCCATCCCTCCAGCCATCCCATCGCTCAGCCGGTCTGCGGCATCAGCGCCAGCGCTCTCTCGAGCAGCGCTCGCACCTGCGCGGCCTCCCGAGCCGCAGCCAGCGCCTCCTGCGTCCGAAGAATCGGCGAGAAAGACGGGATGCCCAGCTCAGTTGCCCGCTGGTAGAGTCAACCCTTTCTTGGGGTGGACTGAGAATACGGGGGGAACCCACAAAGCAAAGCAGGGAAAGTGTGTGTGTGTGTGTGTTTGTTTGTGTTTGTTTGTGTTTGTGTTTGTGTTTGTGTTTGTGTTTGTGTTTGTGTTTGTGTTTGTGTTTGTGTTTGTGTTTGTGTTTGTGTTTGTGTTTGTGTTTGTGTTTGTGTTTGTGTTTGTGTGTTTGTGTTTGTGTTTGTGTTTGTGTTTGTGTTTGTGTTTGTGTTTGTGTTTGTGTTTGTGTTTGTGTTTGTGTTTGTGTTTGTGTTTGTGTTTGTGTTTGTGTTTGTGTTTGTGTTTGTGTTTGTGTTTGTGTTTGTGTTTGTGTTTGTGTTTGTGTTTGTGTTTGTGTTTGTGTTTGTGTTTGTGTTTGTGTTTGTGTTTGTGTTTGTGTTTGTGTTTGTGTTTGTGTTTGTGTTTGTGTTTGTGTTTGTGTTTGTGTTTGTGTTTGTGTTTGTGTTTGTGTTTGTGTTTGTGTTTGTGTTTGTGTTTGTGTTTGTGTTTGTGTTTGTGTTTGTGTTTGTGTTTGTGTTGTGTTTGTGTTTGTGTTTGTGTTTGTCGTGTGTGTGTGTGTGTGTGTGTGTGTGTGTGTGTGTGTGTGTGTGTGTGTGTGTGTGTGTGTGTGTGTGTGTGTGTGTGTGTGTGTGTGTGTGTGTGTGTGTGTGTGTGTGTGTGTGTGTGTGTGTGTGTGTTGTGTGTGTGTGTGTGTGTGTTTGTGTGTGTGTGTTTGTGTGTTTGTGTGTTTGTGTGTTTGTGTGTTTGTGTGTTTGTGTGTTTGTGTGTTTGTGTGTGTGTGTGTGTTTGTGTGTGTGTTGTGTGTTTGTGTGTTTGTGTGTTTGTGTGTTTGTGTGTTTGTGTGTTTTGTGTGTGTGTGTTTGTGTGTTTGTGTGTTTGTGTGTTTGTGTGTTTGTGTGTTTGTGTGTTTGTGTGTTTGTGTGTTTGTGTGTTTGTGTGTTTGTGGGTTTGTGTGTTTGTGAGTTTGTGTGTTTGTGTGTTTGTGTGTTTGTGTGTTTGTGTGTTTGTGTGTTTGTGTGTTTGTGTGTTTGTGTGTTTGTGTGTTTGTGTGTTTGTGTGTTTGTGTGTTTGTGTGTTTGTGTGTTTGTGTGTTTGTGTTGTGTGTTGTGTGCGTTTGTGCGTTTGTGTGTTTGTGCGTTTGTGCGTTTGTGCGTTTGTGCGTTTGTGCGTTTGTGCGTTTGTGCGTTTGTGCGTTTGTGCGTTTGAGCGTTTGAGCGTTTGTGCGTTTGTGCGTTTGTGCGTTTGTGCGTTTGTGCGTTTGTGCGTTTGTGCGTTTGTGCGTTTGTGCGTTTGTGCGTGTTGCGTGTTTGCCGTGTTTGCGTGTTTGCGTGTTTGCGTGTTTGCGTGTTTGCGTGTTTGCGTGTTTGCGTGTTTGCGTGTTTGCGTGTTTGCGTGTTTGCGTGTTTGCGTGTTTGCGTGTTTGCGTGTTTGCGTGTTTGCGTGTTTGCGTGTTTGCGTGGTTGCGTGTTTGCGTGGTTGCGTGGTTGCGTGGTTGCGTGGTTGCGTGGTTGCGTGGTTGCGTGGTTGCGTGGTTGCGTGGTTGCGTGGTTGGGTGGTTGTGTGTTTGTGGGTTTGTGGGTTTGTGCGTTTGTGCGTTTGTGCGTTTGTGCGTTTGTGCGTTTGTGCGTTTGTGCGT